TCCATCCCCCACCTTTCTCCCAAGGTGGCTTACAACAATGAAATACAATATTTAAAGTTGAAAACAATGAATATACAATGGTGGTTAACATCATTAAAAGACAATATTCAAAAACCATGAACGATGAATAACGAGACATCATACATCACTGACACGCAATATTAAGGCAAAGATCAATAAGTGTACAAAAAATTTAAAAAGTGTCACTCTGAGAAAGAGTAAACACAAGTAATACTAAAAATCCAGTCAAAGCAGTAATGCATAGCAATCTTATCTAAAAATCACAAACAAGCAGCTGCTTACTGAGGGAAGGCTTGCCTGAAGAGAAAGGTCTTTACCTTCTTCTCCCCTGGGAGTGGGAATTAGGTCCTTAGTACCAGATTAGGTATCAGGATTTCAATACATGTTGGAGGGGGAAATAGAAAGGCAAGTCTTGAAGTGGTATTATATATTGGTATTTTAGATATGTAACAGTATATAAGACCTGCAGTAATGTTCACCAATGTAGAGGGGAAGGAAGAGTGAAAGGTGTATGCATGCTGGGCTGTACTGAATAGACACTGCATTGTTCATTTCCTACACTCAAAGCCCGTTTCACTACTGCGTTCTATATATTCTCTATGGGTAGAGTGAGCTCTGCTCAATGTTCTGCCCTCGTATCTGTCAACTGCATATATAGCAGGTATGGAGACAGGATGTGGCCTCATGCTTGCTGGCTCCACTGTCAACATGTTCAGGAAAATTCTGAACAATGAATACAGCTGCACTTGCACAGTCTCCCCACATGACTGGGAATCCGGAATGCCAAACATGCACAGTCTATGCTCCATTCATAGTTCATGTCCCATCGGTTCTTTGTTGAAATGTCCAGAACCTGGGAGACAGGGAGCCCTGATGAGGCATGGCGTGTACTTGGGCAAAGGCTTGGGGGTCCGTTTCTTCCAAGGGCAGAGCTTAACTTACACATAAGGCACACCACTGACTTGGGGGGGGGGTCCGTTTCTTCCAAAGGCAGAGCTTAACTTGCACATAAGGCACACCACTGCCATGTGGAGAAAAGGCACTTAAGATGGTTGCTCTTTTGAATCTGCAGTATCTGAATGATTCAAAGCGCCTTATTGCAATGATGGAGATCAGTTTGTTCCTTCCCTACTGAGGGCCACGACATCAGGATTTGAACGTAACAGTTCAAGCATAACACATAAAAAAACCTAACAAGTCAGAATTTGAAATGCATCTGTTCAATTATTTTATTTTATTGTTAACAGAAGTAAAAACACTGCACACATTTCCATACTGTTTCTGAGTCAGGAGAATAAGGATTCTCAGTGTAGCTTTGCCCAAAGCACTTTAGGACATCCCATGAAATTTCAGGCGGGGTGTAACAGTGGCCCAGAAAGATGCTCACCAACCCTACAACTTAACACGTCTGCAAAGATGGGATTTTCCCTAAGGATCACGGGGAATCTTGGGCCACTTATCTCGCCTGAAGTCTAATCTACCTAGTGGGGCTTTAAATTGATGGATTAAATTCACTTCAACGCCTCGTAGTTTATGAACAACTTTAGAAGAACTTGTCCGCTCCTTGGGGAACCCTCCGTTTACAGCCTGGGCTGCGAGTAAAAACTCCCCAGATTTCGCGTTGTCGCTTGTTTCTCTTCGCATGCAGTCGAAATCGCTGCATTTCCAGACGGGACAAAACCCACTTTACAAGCCGAGGCTTTGAGCTCCAGTGCTTAGTTGAGCTCAAGTCTCGCCGAGCAATCGAAGGTCTCCGGTCCTCCCGTAAAGGCGTATCATAGAGTCGAGTGCCAGAGCGGATCCCTCGGGACTACGCTTCCCAGCACGCCCTGCGCGGCAGTCCGGAACTTGCCTGCAGGAGCCATTCCGGTTCCACTGGCCATGGCTGCGTTGGGAACCTCGGGGTGCTTTTGGGGCGGCAGGGTGGCCGCGGTGTCTCTGTTTCCTCGGTGTCCGCGGGCTCTCCGCCTCTCCTGGGGACGGCGGGGCTTTTGCCAAGACCCAGGAGCTGGTGAGTCTCTCTGTAACGCTTTTGTACAAAGGTACCGCCGTGAGATCCCTGAAATCGGCGTTGCATTACTCGGAGCTAAGCTCACCTGGCTGGCTCCGGATCCAGCCCTCCTCGACTTCTCTTTCTTAGGATGCTGAGAGATCCATGATATGGACACTACGGATTGTGAGAAACTAGGCTACAATTTTAAAAAAGACAAAAACGTTGTGCCACTTTAAACACTAATTGCAATATTTTAATGGGAGCTTTCGTGTGAAACAACGAAAATTCAGGTGCCACAACGTTTTTGTCTTCTTTATTTTTTAATTGTTGTTTTGTTTTTGCCTGACATGCTAGGACAGACTTAACAGGGTTACCTCTCCTAAAAGTACATCCTGTGTGGATCTACTGTGAAGCGGATGAAGCTTAAGCTTCGGGGCCTCTAATCCCAGAGGGGTCCCAGAAGCCACTTTAGTTAGCATTTTATTAAAAAAAAAAATTGAGAAAGGTAACAATGATTACCCAGACCGTGTCGCTGGTTGCAAAGGGTTTCCCGTGACAGTTCAGACTTCATTGCCTGCCACTGACTACAATGCCACCTTCCAAGTTGAAGGTTTAATCAGGAAAAAAATGGTTTTCTGAGGGCTTCATATGAAGTTCCAGTAACCTAAGTGGAATGTGCTTTTTAGAATTAAAGTTAATGAAATGCACTTGAAAGACTTCAAACTCATGTGCAAATACTGCTGTGTGACCTCTATGGTATGACTGAAAGGGCAAGGAATTCTATTCAGTTCCTTGTCTATAGTTAAAACTACCTGATGAAAATGTTTGGGATCTTGCCTTTACCCTTTTTCATCTTTTTTGAGACCATGAACTCAACTAGAAAGTTTCCATTCTTTTTTTTCCCAGATTGCTGGTCATTTGAGTAGGATCCATGATGGCTGCAGTGCAGTCCTGTACTTGCTTACTGATATGCAAGATGTGCTGGTTCTTAGGAGGTTAACTCTCCAAACCAGGATGCTTGAAACCATGGTCTTAAGAAGCAGTTGTCCACCCATGGGAGGGTGCAGCAGGGAGCCATAGGTTATAATGTTACTGCACTCTCTCCATAGCTGGAAAAGTCAGTTCACTCTTGGAGGTCTTACGGTAGCAATGGCAAACTCTGCCAGGACTGGAGCTCATTCAGTTGTTCGGTAGCAATGGCAAACTCTGCCAGGACTGAAGCTGATTCAGTTGTTCAAACAACAACAACAACTCTGGTTTATGAATGTGGGATATTGTGCTTTTGTACCACAATTCAAAAAGATGAATGTGGGATATTGCGCTTCTGTACCCGCAATTCAAAAAACCAGAAAACGGCCCAATATTGTTGCAAAATATTGCGGCCATGTTGCTAGCAGGAAGAAGGATGCCAAGCTTTCCATAGCAAAGGGGCAGCCTGAATGTTAACAAGACCAGTGGCAACAGTCAAGACGGAATACAGGATACCTACTTCTGCTCGCTGCCATTCTCACTTGTTGAAAAATAGCCCTGGCAGTTGCTTTGTGTTTGGATGAAAAGTGGTGAACTGATGAAAAAAGAAATCAACTTTTGGGATTTTTCCTTGTGTGGTGTCACTTTATGAATGGTAGTGGTGCTCCTGTTCAACACCTTGCACATTAGCCTGTGGAGTGTCTCAGGGTGCCATGAATTCCCCATACTATTTCACATATACATGAATCTTACAGTAGGAATAGCAAACTGCCAGGACTGGAGCTGATGTACAGATTTTGCCTGTCATTGGGACTAGTGGGAGGATAAATGTAAAGCCCCCCTCCCAACAAAAAATAAAAAATTACAGTAAAACAACAAAAATGCCTTGCCAGAAGAAGATGACCCGCCCCCCCAAAAAAATCTCCCACCCAGTCCTTCCAATCTGGCTTGAGCCAATTTGGCAGTCTCTCCACCGTAGTTTTTCCTTCCTCAGCCTTGTATGATTGCTATGCCCATCTTTGTGACACACTCAGTGGTACAGCCCAGTGCAGTCAAAAATATATCCTGTTCTTACTTCCAGTAAATGGGCATAGATTTACAACCTAAATTATGGCTGATATTCAAATCTGGTTCCCCACACCCATGCAGCTTTTTAAAAATAAATCTTTTGTTGTTTTTCTGCTGTTGGCCCAACTGTTTTGTTTTTCAGAAGAGAAGAAATCTGGCGTTTCAAAGCCTTCCTTTACAGATGAAAATGTTCAGAATTTGCTCTACAAGATAACAGGGATGGATTTGCAGAAGGTTTTTAAGCCACTGAAACAGGAACTTAAACCCCCAACATACAAGCTTATGACAGAAGCACAGTTGGAAGAGGTATATCATCATCATATTTCTAGATATTTATTTGATTTTAAGATGTGAATAGAAGAAACCAGGCATGGTTTTTGGTTTATTTGTTTCTGCCATGGGCATAACAGGGCTTAGCAAACATATACACTCAGAACAATTTTTGTTGTCTTACTACTGGCATCTTCAAGATTAACATGAAGCTATTTTACCAAGTGGCAGTCTTGACAGTTTAAAAAGTATTAATTACTTAGTGGATGAAATCTTGTTGCACAGTTACACAAAAGGCATAACTTTTAGAAGTAAATTGGCACAAGTTAAGAAATTTCCATAGACATCTGTTCTGTACTGGTCACACAAATCTGTGCGCTCTGATAATATTTACAGAGATTTCTTAACTCTTCGAATTTGCTTGAAAAAGTTATGCTATGCAACAGGACTTTGGTTTGTATACTTACCATAATCATGTGTTACAGATTTCTCAACAATTAAAAATAATAAGCATGAAAGCCAAAAATAAAAAACTAACTAATCAAGGGCAACCTTCTACATCAGAAATTGTTAATTGTATCTGGCCCCATGGTGCAGTGGTTAAACTGCAGTACTGCAGTCAAGCCTCTGCTCACAACCTGAGTTCAATCCTGAAGGGTTCCGGCAGGCAGCTGAAGGTTGACTCAACATTCCATCCATTTGAGGTCAGAAAGTGAGAACTCAGGTCACAGGGGGCAAAATATTCCTTGCATAATTATGTTGTAAACTTCCGAAGAGAGTGCTCTGGCACAACCATTCTTAGCCCTCTTAGGAGCTCTTCTCAGGTTCCAGGGCTCCCTGGATACAACATGAACAAATATCTTTCAGAACCTTCTCACATTTTTCAATCTGTGGCCCCCTTCAAATGTACTGGGAGCCCCAGGAGGCCACATGGCCCCTGTTGAGAATGGCTGCAAGCTCTATTAGGCAGTATATAAGATGAAAACAACAACAATAATTATTATTTTGGCAAATACAGGAGAATTTACAAAATTAACTATCAGAACATGTGGTAATACACCGGTTTCTAAGCGGCTACCTATGTTGCAACAACACCAACAAGTGTCTTGTGGCACCTTAATAATACCACATTTTGTTTGGTATAATCTTGTGTGGACTGTTTCCCATTGCATTTGAAGAAGTGGGCTATAGCCCACCAAAAAAAAGTACTTGTTTTAAAGTGCCTCAGGAGTTTATTTTTCGAACCAAAACTGTGACTTCTTTCTTTGAAACAAGGAGCTTTGGGGAGCCAGGTGAGAGGTGTATGGTGGATCGGTAGTCTAACAGAAGAGAACCAAGTTAAAGCACTCAAAGATACAGAGCATCTAAGTAAATATTTCTATGAAAGTAGATCAGTAGTGGTAGATATACTCTTTATGGTGCCCTCTGTTTTTATATAGTTAGTGTATTTTTCTGTGCATACCACCCCCCCAAGTATAAGATGACCCCCTAATTTTGACCCTTGCTGGAGGCAGAGGAGCAGTTAATGGGCAACTGCAACTCCACCTCCATCTCCTGCTTCTGCTGTCTCCGCCACCTGATCACCTCCTCCAGTGTGACTGCCAGGGCTTACCTCCAGCTCACCTCGACACCGCCTTGTCCCCTGCCCAAAGGGAGTGCTGGAGGAAGCGATGTGGCAGCAGCAAGAGGTGCCCAAGCATGCGTGACTGCTCCTTTGCCTCCGCCTCCCGCTGCTGCTGCCGTCGTCTCTGGAGGAGGCAATCGGGTGGTGGCAGCAGCAGTCAATGGGCAGCAGCAAGAGGTGCCCGAGTACGCTGCCTCTGCCACTGGAGGGGACAAGGTGAGCCCTGGCAGTCGCACTGGAGGAGGCAATGGGCGGTGGCGGCAGCAGCAAGAGGTGCCCGAGCGCATGTGTGAGTTCTCCTTTGCCTCTGCTTCATTCCATGTATAAAATGACCCCCTAATTATTTTAGGAAAAAGAGTCATTTTATACACAGAAAAATATGATAGATTTTTATGTGGAACACACACCCCCCACAGTAGTATTGTGGCTCTAATGGGTGTGGTATATTAGAATAAATGAATAGATAGATAGATCTAAATTATGTGTGCTTTATATGCACTTACTCATAGCTTTAAAATAGTTTCCCTTAAAACACTAGGATGATTTGTTAGATATTAGGAAATTTATTATACTTTTTTCTTCCTTTTTTAGGCTACAAGGCAAGCTATCGAGACAGCTAAAGAGAGGCTCAAAATGCCTCCTGTACTGAGTGAACGAGAACCAATTAATGATGTATTATCAGATGATAAGATTCTTGATGGAGTTGAGTCCCACAAATACATCTTTACCGACCTAACATATAGTGTCCCACATCGCGTGAGTTTTTTAATTACTTGCATCAGAATAATACGGGGCTTTCATTTGATTTAAC